AGGTCCCACTCGTCATCTTCAGGGTGGGGTCTTCGGCTTCGTGCTTGTGTGAGCAAAGTGTGATCGGAGCTGCTGTCTCTCTATAAATATTGGTGGGGTTGTGTGGAATGCTGGCTTAGTTGCTGTAGGTGGGTGGGTTGGCTGTGTTGGAGTTATTGTTTGCTGATTGTTCGGCTATTTCGTAACATCCTGAGTAGTTCAGGTGCTGGCTGTGTGCCCATTAGTCTTTTGTGTTATAACGACCTGGTAATGGGTTGTGTGATTACATCCTGAGATCTAGTATACTGATATCCTGAGTTTTGTGTTGCAACATCCTGGGTGGTTGCCTGTGTTGTAACATCCTGAGCTTTAGCGTTGTAACCTCCTGAGTTCTGTGATGTGGACATATATATATATTGTCTGATTCTTGGAAACTGGCTGGACAAGTTTGAGATGTCGTGTTAATGATCTAATTTATTGCCTCGGGAAAAATCGTAAGTTTGACTTGAATGCCTGCAAATCTTTCTCGTTGTGTCTTTCACACTTCCCAACTCTGGTGCTTGATGAAAACGATGTGATGCAAACAGGTCAGTTGCCAGGGCCTGCTACCTTTGAATGAAACCACCCCACGGAATTCTTCTTCCTTTGATTTATTTCTGGGTCATTCCTCTTCCATAAGGTGTGTGGCCACCCCACCCAGCTATTTGGGCCTTAATGAGTCCTTTCAACCTAGGCAGGGCAGGTAAACAAACAAGTGGATCTTACATGTCAAAATCTCCATTAGAATTTCAACAGGTTCTGCAGATCTAAGGATAAATGGACAACTGGCAGTTAGATGTAGACTTCATGATTGCAACAAGAATAACTTGGATGGCTGTTGATACTCTGTGGCTGAATGTACCGTAGCAGAAGATCAACTTGGAAATGTTCAGTCTAATGAAAAGAAGGATGAGGGGTGACATGGTAACAGTCTTCCAATATTTGAGGGGCTGCCTCAAAGAAGAGGGGGTCAATTTATTCTCCGAAGCACCAAAAGGCAGGACAAGAAGCAATGGATGGAAACTCATCAAGGAGAGAAGCAACCTAGAACTACGGAGAAATTTCACGAAAGTGAGAACAATTGATTAGTGGAATGGCTTCCCTACAGAAGTTGCAGGTGCTCCATCACTGGGGGCTTTTAAGAAGAGACTGGACAACCATTTATCTGGAATGGTCTAGGGTCTCCTGCTTAAGCAGAGGGTTGGGCTAGAAGACCTCCAAGGTCCCTTCCAACTGTATGATTCTATGTTGTATAAGTCCTTGAAAGGTTTGTAGAACAGATACAGCTTCTCAGATGAGTTAACTCCCCATTAGGGATGATATGGTAGCAATTGTCCAAATATTTGAGGGGCTGCCCCAAAGAAGAGGGCTATTCTCCAAAGCGCCTGAAGGCAGGACAAGAAGCAACGGATGGAAACTAATCAAGGAGAGAAGCTACCTAGAACTAACCAGAAATTTCCCGACAGTGAGAGCAATCAATCAGTGCATGCACATGTACATCACCCCCAACGTGTGCTAGTGCCATGGACATGGGGTGCGAAAACAGGATGCTGTGCCGCACGGTGCAAAAACGGGCCACTGCCACACCTTGGGGCACAAAAACGGGATGCTGCTGCACCTTGGGGCACAAAAACAGGACGCCGTGTTGCCGCGCTGCACAAAAATGGGCCAACGCCACACTTCAGGGTGCGAAAATGGGATGCTGCTGCACCTTGGTGTGCGAAAATGGGCCGAGCCCGTGCCTCGGGGACTATTAACAGGGTACTGTACACAAGAACAAGGCAGTGCTAACGAGTATTACGCAAGTGCTAACCCCGTCCTGTTTGCGACACTCTCATGCTTGTGGCTGCGTGGGCGCATGTGTGCATAAAATGCTTCCCCCTCACTTTCCTTCCGGTCCACCAACCAAGACAGGTTTGTGACCTTTGAACTAAGGGATCAGTTGTAAGTCCAAGGCTCTTTGTGTGCTACCAATAAAACTGAGCATCATAATATCTGTATTAAATTACTAGGGTTCTCACACATCTAGGCTTCCAATATTTGGATCACCACTAGATGGCATCAGAGATTCAGGGGAAAAAAATCTGTTCTGCTGCTGCCACCTGGTGGTCAACTGGATTATAGCCGAAGCCGTATTGAAAATGGGATTTGCTTACTGCTTTTAAAAAATACCCTTTAATTGAGCTTGGAAGCTTGCATGGAGATGAGTATCCTGGCATGAGAAAGGGACATTGTGCAATTTGGTCCTCTGCATGTCTACATAAAAGCAAGTTTAGGTAGTCCTTGACTTACAACAGTTCATTTAGTAACCGTTCAAAGTTACAACGGGACTGAAAAAAGTGACTTATGACCATTTTTCACACTTTGCAGCATCCCCGTGGTCGCGGGATCAAAATTCGGATGCTTGGCAACCGGTTCATATTTATGACAGTTGCAATGTCCCCTTTTGCGACCGTTTGACCACAAAGTCAATGGGGAAGCCAGATTCACTTAACAACCAGGTTACTAACTTAACAATTGCAGCGATATACTTAATAATTGTGACAAAAAAAGTTATAAAATGGGGCAAAACTTACTTGACAACTGTCTCACTTAACAACAGAAAGTTTGGGCTCAATCGTGGTCATAAATTGAGGACTACCAATGAATAGTATTTACATGAACATAATATATGGGACTATCGGTGTTCCCTGCTTAGCAACCACAGCTGGGACCAGCAGCTCAGTTGTTAAGCAAAGCAGTCACTAAGTGAACCCACATCGGTGCTTATGATCTAACTTCTTTTCTTTGCTTCACAGACCTGCACATGTCGTAAACTGGTTGTAAAGCTACTCTTTCATTAGAGTTGTAACTGCAAACAGTTGCTAAATGAGGCAGGTGCTAAATGAAGGTTACCTGTACATTTACTATCAACCAGTGATGGGATTCAGCCAGTTTGCACCAGTCTGGCAGAACCGGTAGCTAAATTTTGCAGAGTTCGGAGAAACGACTGAATGCACACCACTTCCGGAAGTCCGTTCTACACCTCGGAGGCCTGGAGGAGGCCTCCCTGGCCTAGAACGGCCAGCCAAAAGTGCATGGATACTACTTCCGGAAGTCCTTCTAGGCTTGGGAAGCTTGGAGGAGGCCTTCCAGGCCTAGAACGAGGCCTTCCAGGCCTAGAACAGCCGACCGAAAGTGCATGGATGCCACTTCCGGAAGTCCATTCTAGGCCTGGGAGGCCCAGGTCTGCATCCATGCAGAGAACCGGTTGTTCAGTTATTTGAATCCCACCACTGCTATCAAACTCCTAAGAGATGGTTTTTATAAAAAGTTTGCATTACAGTGTTCTGAATTTGGGATCCACCCAAAATGCTTTTCGAGGTGTCCTTATTCCATCTAATAATTTAATAATTACTCTTCCTTGTAATTATAGCAAAGTGTGAAAGAAAAGACTGCTGATATATTTTGGTTCAATCTGCACAGGGTCTCCTTGACTTACAACGGTTTATTTAGCAACCGTTTGAGTTTGCAACGGCACTGAAAAAAGGGACTTATGACCGTTTTTCACACTTATGACCATTGCAGCATCCACACAGTCACGTGATCAAAATTCAGCTGCTTGTCAACTGACTCATATTTATGACAGTTGCCATGCCCCGGGGTCACCTGATCCCCTTTTGCAAAGCACAACGAGTGGGGAAGCAAGATTTACTTAACAACCAAGTGGCTAACTTAACAACAAGGATTCACTTAACAATTGTGGCAAGAAAGGTCATAAAATGGGGCAAAACTCACTTAAAAACTGTCTCACTTAACAACAGGAAGTTTGGGCTCGATTGTGGTCATAAGGCCAGGACTGCCTCTACTGCAGGGGTCCCCAATCCACAGTCCATGGAGCAGTACTGGACCACGGCATGCCAGCAACCGGTCTGCACAAACAAGCAAAGCCTCACTTGCAGGATGCAGGCAGCACACAAAACCACACACCCTCCGAAATATTTTGGGCACAATATTGATTTGGATATTTGGCAAAGTTTATGGGAAAAAAAATCTAAAAATTACTGTAGCAACCTCCTATAAGGAAAACCTCTATAAGATGTTTTATAGGTGGCACCTCCCTCCCACAAGACTAGCTCGAATGAACAAGGGGGAAAACTCGATATGCTGGAAGTGTGGAGAGACCGTTGGGAATTACTACCCCATGTGGTGGCAATGCCCAAAGGCACAAAAATTTTGGAACTTATTAAAGAAATGGCTGGAAGAAATTTTGCTAATAGATATAGAGGCCACACCAGAATTTTTTTTTAATTGGGAATTATAGAAAGAAAATATAACAAAGATACAAATTATTTACTACTGCATATAGTAACAGCGGCACGAATAGCCTTCGCTCAAAAATGGAAAGAGAAAGATACTTCAACCGAAGAGGAAATATTATTGAAAATTTTCAATTGCGCTGAAATGGATAGACTTACATGGGAACTCAAGGACAAAAGTAAAACCAAGTACTATAAAATCTGGGAACAGTTTTATGATTGGATAGACAATAAGAGGGTAGCCAAGATAAACGTATAGTGCTAGAATAAAATATAGATTATAGACAAATGTATATTTAAAAGATAAATAGATATATAGAAATAAGGGAAAAAGTGTTAATAGTATATTATAAATAGTGAGCAAAGCTCAAAAACTATATGTCTATATGAGTACTAATACTATTGTAAAATGTTGGAAGATGTATGGAACCAGTGATGTCATATCTATGTCCAATGTGTTTTTAAAATTGGTTTTTAAAAAAACCACACACCCTCCGGTCCGCGGAAAAACCTCTCTCCATGGAACCCTGGTACCCAAAAAATCAGAGACCTCTGCTCTACTGGATTTAAAATGGTCAGCCATCCCTAGGTTGCACTACAAGGTCCAGGAATTCTGGATTCTTAGCACAGAAAGTTTAGCCTGGCTACTCCTGTATAAAATGTGTTTTTCTATCTTTTATTCAGTGCATTCCCTCGCCTGCTATTACTGTGAAAATGAGCCTTCCAACTGGAACTGCATGTCCATGAAGAAGTGCGCAGAAACAGACAAATACTGCACTACCATTAAAAGGGTTAACCGTGGCAGACATGGTACGTATCACGGAAGCAGAAACAATTACGGTACCGGCCACTTTGGTTTAGGGAGATGATCTAATGTCCAAACTATTTTAACAACAACAACAACAACAACAATAAATAATAGTAGTAATAATAATAAACCTGGAAGGGACCTTGCAGGTCATCTAGTCCAACCCCCTGCTCAGACAGGAAAACTTATACCATTTCAGACAAATGGCTGTCCAGTCTCTTCTTCAGCATTTCCAGTGTTGGAGCATTCACAGCTTCTGGACTCAAGTCGTTCCACTGATTAATTGTTCTAACTATCAGGTAATTTCTCCTTAGTTCTAGTTTGCTTCTCTCTTTGATGAGTTTCCATTTGTTGCTTCTTGTCCTGCCTTCAGGGGCTTTGGAGAAGAGGTTGACCCCCCCTCTTCTTTGTGGCAGCCCCTCAAATATTAGAAGACTGCTATCATGTCACCCCTCATCCTTCTCTTCATTAAACTAGACATACCCAATTCCTGTAACTGTTCCTTATATGTTTTAGCCTCCAGCCTCCTTAAAAATATTGAACATTGCTATTAAATCCTGGCAACGGGGTGCCATGATGTTGATATTCATGTTTGGGTCCAGACCTGAATTATACAAGGAACAGAAGAAAGCTTCCTTTGACCTTACTTAAGTTCCAGGTTACTGGTTCTCCAGAGGTTTGAGAGGAAGGGGTAGTTGACAAGAGGATGCTGGTTTCAGATAGACTTGATCCTCAATGTCTGAGACCAGAGAGGTTCAACCATTGTTAAGAAAGTTGGAGGAAGAATGGATGTACCAGGGAAATGAGGAATGTTTAATGTTCTTCCCGTATGGTGTGTAGTGGGACTGCATCCAGTTTTGGTCTCCATGCTATAAAAAAGATGTTGAAAGAGTGTAGAAAGAGTGTAGAGAAGAGCAACAAAGATGATCAGGGGACTGGAGGCTAAAACATATAAAGAATGGTTGCTGGAATTGGGTATGTCTAGTTTAACGAAGAGAAGAGGGGGGACATGATAGCAGTGTTCCAATATCTCAGGGGCTGCCACAAAAAAGAGGGAGTCAAGCTATTCTCCAAAGCGTCTGAAGGCAGGACAAGAAGCAGCGGATGGAAACTCAGCAAGGAGAGAAGCAACCTAGAACTAAGGAGAAATTTCCTGACAGAACAATTAACCAGTGGAACAGATTGCCCTCAGAAGTTATGGGAGCTTCATCACTGGAAGCTTTCAAGAAGAGACTGGACTGCCATCTGTCAGAAATGGTGTAGAGTCTCCTGCTTGGGCGGGGGGTTGGACTAGATGACCTACAAATCCCTTCCAACTCTGTTATTCTATAAGGGACACTTGGAAAGTAGAGGAAATAACTGCCAAAGGACCCGGGAGCCCTGTTTCTCAACTTCAGCAACTTGAAACTGGGTGGACTTCAACCCCTGCTAGCTGGGGAATTCTGGGAGTTGAAGTCCACCCACTTTCAAGTGGCTGAGTTAGAAGGTCCAGCCAGAAAGGAAAACTGAGCCTAGATAGGGCTGAAATCCCCCACCCCCCATTTTTGGTGGCTTCTAATTTCTTGTATTTTACATAATTATTTGATTTTATTTTGCCACATAAAGGTGAGCCTGATGACTACCGGATCAGCAAGCAATGCACTCCATCTTGTGATGAAAATTTCATGGACATGGGATCATCATCCGTTGCTACCAAGTGCTGCCAGTTTTCCTTCTGTAACTTCAGTGGAGCTGCCAGCGTGAAACTGAGCAACATGGTGCTGGTTTTGGGAATCCTGGGCAGTTTCTTCTACATCTTCCAGTCTAGATAAGGGATTGCTCATAATTCTTACAAGAAAGAGAGACTAGCAAATTTCATCCAGACTCCTGAAGCTACTCAGAGGGTCTCCTTCTGAGACTAGGATCAACACGCCAAATAGATTCTTGGTTCTCTTATGGGAAAATTGATCTCTGTTGCGTATTACAGAACACGAAGCTTCCCTTTGTACATAGAACTCTGGAAGACCTTTATATTAAGTAGTATTTTTATTTAGTATCCACTTGTATCTAAGTCTAGCACAAACCTATTTTGCCTCACCGTAATAATTCTTGATAGTGAGAGCATTTATTAAAGATTGTCAAGGCCTCAGGCAGCTGGCTGACGTAGCATCCTTCTTCTCTTGACACACAATAACATTATTTTGCAAAACTGGCTTAATTAAAAATAACTTTCTACTTTGGTGCACGCAAAGGGCACCATTAACCACATTTTCTTCTTGGGTAATGTCCCCCCCCCCACCTTTCTGGGATGATTTAATGATGGTTCTAGCCACCTGGTGTGGAAAGGGCACAACTACAAGAGTTTAGGGAAGAGCTAACTCCAGAAGATGGTAGAGGCCAGGAAGGCCTGGAGGAACATTGTCCATGGGGTTGTGATGGGTCGGACACAACTTCGGAACTAACAACAACAACAACTCTAGGTGAATTTGATGAAGATAAACCCTGGTTAGGAGCAACAGGGTTGCAAGCTTGGATGTGAGAGGATGTGATTGTGGCTACTTAGAAGATCACTGTGTGGTGTGATCTTGTGGAAAGCCTTAATCAAAATATATTTTATGTCTTATACCAGGGGTCTTTAAACTTGGCCCTTTTATGACTTGTGGACTTCAACTCCCATAATTCCTCAGCCAGTGTGCCTGGCTGAGGAATTCTGGGAGTTGAAGTCCACAAGTCATAAAAGGGCCAAGTTTGAAGACCCCTGCCCTTATACTGACTCCATCTCCCCTTAAATATTAATCGAATCTATAATGGACTGAGAATCAGCCTCTCCGCTAGATAATTGGCAGTCAAGCTGAAACTAGTTAATCAATTAAAAATAGCAAATGGGTGAAAATCTTTTACTCAAGCTTCCTTAAACCCAGACCTAATCCACACATCAAAGAAGAAGGTCTGTAAACAGAAATAGTTTAAAATTAAACTATTGGTTTGGTTTAATTTGAATTAAAACTGTCTCCCAGTGAAACTACATGTTCACCAGAATAAAAATCATAGATGACATGTACCTACACATCCCCATGTCCTCAAGGATCACCCTGGAACCATCATGCACGGACATCCATACTCCTCAAGACTTACACCAAGGACCAGTTCCCCTATAAACCAGCTGTTTGTACCTCGTTTTCTCTGTAGTTATCCCAAAGAGCAAACCTCCTTGTTCTTGGGAATAAATAAATATCCTTTCCTCACAGCTGTCTGGATTTCATCTTAATTTCTTCTTGTGCAACCCCAGTTTGGCTCGGAACCCCAAATTATTCTTCTGACAATCTCCTTTTTCAGCTTCCATGATTCTGAAGATGGTTTTGAAGTTTGAAACTTCATCTTCCTGATTCAGTCCTGTGATCTAGTCTGCATATTAATAAAGTTTTATGTCGACGTTCATTAACATCCCAGTTTGTAAACTCATTGTTATGGTTCCGGCTAATGAAACACTTCAAAGAACTTCCAGGCATTGATTTTCCTAAAAGTAATTTATTGTTACAAAATGTCGGCACAGGCATAACGAAGTTGATGCTAAGATCTAAAATTCTCTTCCTCTGAGCAATTAATTTACCAGCATGTTCCCTCCCTAAATTTGCTGTCATATATCATGTTCTCCTATCAGGTGGAAGGGCAGAGGTTCTCTTCCGGTCTCTTCCACCCGCAGTCCTATCTTTCTCCTCCCCCCCACCATCATCTGAATTAACTCTAAAAATACCAGACAGTTCTGCATATTTTGTCAAAGCAAGAATATACAGTATTTGCAGCATTGACACTCATATCCACAGTGCGAGCAGGGGGGAAAACTCAGTTCTGCTCTTCATTAGCCCCAATTTAACCATTAACTTTGACTCCTGGTAACAGGGGGATCTGAAGCATGTGGTTCAAAAGTGAAGGTATTGGTCTATTGGTGTCACTCAAAGTTGAGTGTGTGGTACATCAAAAGCAAGATGGGGGCTGTCACGAGGAGAGCTAATATCTGCCTGTTCCCTTAACAACCAGGTTTCCATAAGACATGCCATAAGGCTAAAACATATAAGGAACGGCTGCTGGAATTGGGTATGTCTAGTTTAATGAAGAGAAGGACGAAGGGGGACATGATAGCAGTCTTCCAATATTTGAGGGGCTGCCACAAAGAAGAGGGAGTCAAGCTATTCTCCAAAGCGCCTGAAGGCAGGACGAGAAGCAACAGATGGAAACTGATCAAGGAGAGAAGCAACCTAGAACTAAGGAGAAACTTCCTGACAGTTAGAACAATTAACCAGTGGAACAACCTGCCTCCAGAAGCGGTGAATGCTCCAACACTGGAAGTTTTTAAGAAGAGACTGGACAGCCATTTGTCTGAAATGGTGTAGGGTTCCTCCCTGAGCGGGGGGTTGGACTCAATGGCCTCCAGGGTCCCTTCCAACTTTGTTATTATTATTATTAATTTGGCAGCTGAAAAAAAAATAACCGGTGTGTGTTTTGTCACACACAGACTTGGCCTTCAAAAGCAAGGCGATCAAAGATCTGATAACCAGGACTGAGGGTAGAAGCCAAGAGGTGGACAATGGGATGGCTTTCAGATGGTGGGGTCAGTGCCCTGTGTCCAGCTTGCCTCTGGCCTCCTGCTATATTTGTCTCTGCCATTCTCCACTGTGCCTGCCCTCTCAGGTGGAACTAGACATTAAGAGCATCGCAGCAGCCCAGACATGAGTGATCATGGGCCCAGGAAAGGCTGTAAAGGCTGTAAAATCCCTTGCAGCCACCTTTACACATGGTACCTGATCTTCAAGGGGTGAATCTAAAAGCACCCACAGGTGATGGGCTCTTTCCTGACCCCCTTGGGATGTCATACTACTCAGAAGGATAGTAGGTCCCTCAATAAAACATTTAGGAACCTGTATTCAGTTTCACAAGTGGAGTGACTGCAGAAGAGCAATGTGGAAGCCAAAGCAGACCCAAAACAAATAACCAAAGCTTTACTCTAAAACAGGGCTTTTCAACCTTTTCACCCATTGTACCACTTTTAGGATATGGCAACATCTGAGTACCACCAGTCGCCTAGCAAGGTGTCAAAAACTTGATGACCCCCCCCAAAAAGGAAAAAAGTGATAAAGTACAGGTAGTCCTCCACTTACAACAGTTCGCTTAGTGACTGTTCGAAGTTACAATGGCACTGAAAAAAGTGCCCTCCAAGCCACAGCTGAGCAAGACACCTGCCTGCCCCCCCGGTGGCGCTCTTCCTCCTGTCCGAGATTTTCATTGTTGTGAGCATTTCTGTTGAGGATTGGCAGCAGGGGTGGGGTGGGGGGGTGTTTGGTTTTTATTCCCCCCCATCTGCTGGGTGGTTGCAGCAGGTTTTGGTCACTTCACATGACCCTGGGACACTGTGATCGTCATAAATATGAATCAGTTGCCAAACATCTGAATGTAAATCACAAGACCCTGGAGAGGCTGCAACATTCCAGCTGATTGGTGCTTCTTCTGGGCTCAGCAGAAACGTCAGGATCAGTGCTGCTTTCCAGCTGATTGGCGCTTCTTCAGGGCTCAGCAGAAGCGCCAGGATCAGTGCTGAGCTCCAGCTGGAGCCTGGCGCTGATCCTGGCACTTCCGCTGAGCCCTGACAGTCCCGAAGAAGCGCTGATCGTGGCGCTTCCGCTGAGCCCTGACAGCCCTGCAGCTCCAGCCGTCTCTCGCTCAGGCTTGTGCGGTGCTGCCACCGGTTCAGCTCATTCCCCTCCCCCACTACCACTTTTCTAGGATGGTCACGCACCACCTGCCAGGTGCCAATGTACCACAGGTGGTACCCCTACCACTGGTTGAAAAGCCCTGCTCTAGAAAAAGTGCAGAGAAGAGCAAAAAAGATGATTAGGGGACTGGAGGCTAAAAGAAGTCCCCAAACCTTGGAAGAAGAAATCTTTGGTCCTAGTGACTGACTTTTATTGGATCCTGCAATAAATAAGCAGCTAGATACAACAATTCTTCTGTCCTTCTAGCATGATTCAACAGGGATTGGACCTAATCCCGCTCATCTCAGCATCACTGCCTGACGGATCCTGGAGGGAGACTCACTAACGGTGGATTTTTGTGAGAGGGATGTTCAGTTTTGAGCGGGGAAATTCGAAAAATGAAAACACTTGAATTGAATGCTGAGGTTTATTGGATTCTCAAACTACAGAACTAGCAGAACGAAGCTTGTGGAACAAGGGAAAAGGGGAAGAGGGTGAGGGGTGTCAAGGAAAACAGAAAGGGGATTATGGACCATCCTGTGGTAAAAGCCAGAAGCGTAAATCTTCAAGGAAGGTCCATGATGGATGAGATCAAAACTCAAAGAAATTAGCCCCTTTTGGAGCTAAAAGTTGCACCCGTTTGTCTTGCAACACCGAGTTTGCTCATCCTCAATGCAATTTGCAGTACATCCCCTTTCGAACACCTTTGCTGTGAAGAAAACACAAAGCAGAATGATTACTAAAAAAAATACCAAAGAACAGACCTGGGGCTGTGGCTGAACAAAATGGTAAACCCACTTTTAACATGTCGGTGGATTCCCTCCCAGTAGGAAGGCAGACCTCCTTCGCCCTCTAGGGCAGACATGTCAAACACAAGGCCCAGGGGCCAGATGTGGCCCGTGAAGTAGTTTCATGTGGCCCACGAAGCCATCCTGGAAACAGTGAGGGAACGGCCCCCGCTGGCTTGGCCCTGGCCCAGGCCGGCCGGGAGCCAATGTACAATTTTGTGGTGGCCATCTATGCTGAAACGCATTCAGTCTTAGCTCCACAAGGCCATCTGGAAACAGTGAGGAACCAGCCCCTGCCGCGTCGGACCCGCCCCCTGGGTGCATGCTGGGGAGGGGTCACCCTTTGTGAGGAATGAAGAAATGGACCATGCCTTGGTGCTTGCCCCGGTCCCACCCCCTTCTGCCAGAGACCCTCAGATCTGTCCCACTCCTGCTCAGGGCCCCACAGGCACCCTTGACGCGAACGATGTAGAGCTGTCCATGCCCACCCAGTAGGCCACACCCACTCCATCCATGCCCACCCAGTAGGCCGCACCCACCCGGCCCCCTGAGGGCAACCGCAATGCTGATGCGGCCCTCAATGAAATTGAGTTTGACACCCCTGCTCTAGGGAATACTCAGGAGTCAATGAATAAACAAAGATATCTCTGGGGGAAAGTCCCGTGTTCTGACATGACTCGGGGGCAATGCCATCCCTCTTGGGTATTTAATGTGCGAGATCTACTTTCCCTCAATTCCAGAACAAACCCCCAGTCCTCCCCCTTTCCCTCCACCCCTTTCTCTAAAGAAGAGGGAGTCAAGCTATTCTCCAAAGCGCCTGAAGGCAGGACAAGAAGCAAGGGATAGGAACTAATCAAGGAGAGAAGCAACCTAGAACTAAGGAGAAATTTCCTGACAGTTAGAACATTTAATCAGTGGAACAACCTGCCTCTAGAAGCGGTGAATGCTCCAACACTGGAGGTTTTTAAGAAGAGATTGGACATTTGTCTCAAATGGTATAGGGGTTCCTGCCTGAGCAGGCGGTAGGGGATTGGACTAGATGACCTCCAAAGTCCCTTCCAACATTATTATTATTATTATTATTATTATTATATAACCTCAAGGGGAACCCGGGCAGAGCACAGACAGGCCCTACACGACCTCCAACTCCCAGGTGCATTTGGGAGCCCTAGTTTGGGTTCGAGAAGAAAAGCTGTGAGAAAAGATAAGAACTGTGCTTACTAGTTTCATTCCACCTTTTATAGCATTGGTCAAGACCTTTTGGACACCACACATCAGGAAGGAAATCACAATTTGGTAGATTGCATTGTTCACATTTCAGGGAGTATCCTAGATGAGCGAAATAAAACATAGAAACCTTAGTTGGATATTTATTTTTCTGACCTTGCTATCTTATTATGTATTAGACGATCGATCATTTCATAGCAAAGCCAGCAGTGAAAATATCCACGCAAAGATCAAATGCTCTAGAAACTAGGAGAGACGGCTATTATTATTATTATTATTATTATTATTATTATTATTATTATTATTATTATTATTATTATCTCAAAAATTCCATTTCTGTATTGAACAGCGTGTTGTCTAGGTATTCAAGCATTAGAATATAATAATCATCACATTCATAATAATCTTATCAAAATACAATCATATACTAGGAAATAGGAGTCATACTGTTAAAAATAGTATTTTCCCCATTAACATTAATTGTATAACGATCAAAGTATTTACTAATCCATTATAAATCTTCCTCACATAATCCACATTTTCTCATATTGCCAACTTTCTAACCTCTGTTTGTATCAGCTAACCATTGGTCAAATAAACCCCACGTCATATAGAATTCAGTTTCTTCTTTTTCTTTAGTTTTTAACATTAATCTATCCAGTATTTTTTTCAATTATATTCTCCTCTGTAGGGTTTTTTTCATTTTCCCAAAATTGTGCATAATCTTGACTTGGAGGAAGCATCAGATCCCCTTTGGCTGCGCCATCCAAATACTGCAATACCATCCAAAGCCAGAAATAGACAGATGGAGGACTAAGAAAAGGAAACATTTTTCATCCCACTCCCAGGAGTAATTCTAAGGGCAGAATTCACTACCCAAAGGAGCCTCTCCTTTCAGAGGCAGTCTACCTCAGAATGCCAGCCTGGAAGAGTGCTATGGGCTTCTCTACAAATGGAGAGCAACTCCCCTCCCCTCAAGGCTCCCATGGACCCTCCTTACGCAGCGCATAAGAGAAAACCCCACCAACAAAATGGACCACAACTGCCTCCAATACCATCCCTCCCTCTGCACCCCCTTTTTTTGTCTGATTGTCACCCAAGATCAAAGCTTGACAGCCTTACCTGAGTCCAGGTACACGAATGCCACCACCCCCAGCATTAAGAGCAGAGTTTTCATTTTGCAATCTCCTCTTCAGCCTGCAAAGTGTAGCCCAGGAGGGCAGTGGGCGCTTATTTATACCCCACTGAGGTGACGTCCTTTGGGGGGCTGGATATCTAGGATCAAGAGAGAAGAACAGGGGGATTTGGGAGAAAAGGGGGAGGGCAGCAGGTGTGGTCTTTTTTCCTCGACACCAAAACAGAAACTGAATCAGACCAGGTGATGAACCAACCGGTCCAGGTCTTCAAGGCAAACACGACCGTTCCGTGTGCTAAACCTGGGCACCTGGACAAGTGGCATCTCTTCCTGTACTTGTACAAGATTATACAATCGTTGCATAATGCACAATTTTAAAAAAAATATCTCTCTGCAAAGTTCAGGGCCTTATTATTATTATTATTATTTTATTTGTGCTTCGATTCACCAACTGGGCAACTTCTCTGCATCTTCTAACTCTCTCAGATTGCGACTGTGGATCTGCCTTCATTCAAGGAACATGGCCTCCTTGGAGCAGATCTGAGCATGAGGGGTTCTCTCCAAAACTAGCCTGTGGACTAAGGGATTCTGTTGTGTTCTTTTGTATTCCCCCCCTAATCCCCTATGCGCATCCTGATCACCCATTAAGGGTGATTGCCCTTCTCCATCTGCATACAGTTTCATGCCCGTTGCTGGTTGGCTAACTAGCAACGGGGTCTTACCAGCCAATGGAATTGTGTGATTACGAGCCAGGGGAGTCCCATAAAAGAGGGCTCCCCTGGCCCAGATGCCAGTCCGGATTTACCTTATGCCTTGCCAATAAACCGAGAGCTGACTGTCACTCGACTCGTGTCTTACTGCCTGTGCGATCTAACACTGGCGACGAAGGTGGGATCCCAGTAAGACTGCACGACAAGGGCAACCTCGTGGCAAGCAACCTACTTCGAAGCAAGAGCTCCTCCACGCAGCCTTCCGAAGCAAGAAACTATCCGCGACTCCAAGATGACTTCCACCTCAAAATTCTCGTCTTCCCTACCGGCATTCAACCCAGAAACAAACGACTGGGCCGCATACGTGGGAAGATTCGAGCTACACCTGGCCGGGAATGGGCAACAAGGCATTCCCGAGGATCAGAAGAAGGTCTTATTCCTTGTGAACTGCGGAGACGAGGTCTACCACGTGGCCCGCTCCTTGGTAGCTCCAGCCAGCATCGAGGACACTCCTTGGGCGGATATCCAACGTCTGCTGGCTGGTCAGTATGGTTTTAACTAAATTTTAGTAGAAGCGGCCTATTTAAATATTTATTTATTTTTAATCATTTTCTTAAATTTTGTATTGTATTGTATTAGTTGTTTTTAAACTGGCTGTAAGCCGCCCTGAGTCCTCCGGGAGAAGGGCTGGGTATAAATATAATAAAATTCAAATTCAAAATCAAAATCTCCGAAGGGTTCCTAGTCGCAAGGAACCGCTTCTACAACCGACGACAATGGGCGGGCGAACCCATCAGAAAGTACCTCGGAGAGCTCCGATCGATCGCAGCCCGTTGCGAGTTCGTCGCCCTGGAAAATATGCTGCGGGATCGACTCGTCATGGGGATGAGGGATGAGCACGTGAAGAAGCGACTCATCGTGCGTCGAAGTCTCACCTTCAGCGAAACCCTAGACGAGGCCCTCACCGCAGAAGAGTCCGAATCCACGGCCACCGAGATGAGACGGGGTGACATCCATCGCACCCATCGCGAGCCAACCCCCGATCCGGAGGCCACCGAATTGGACGAGGCCGGCGAGGAAGAGACCGTCCATCGCACCTTTACCAGCCGGAAGCAGCGAGCATGGCGAGACGAGCGGGACGACCTCGAGTGTCCAGGGTGTTGGGGGAACCACACACGAGCAAACTGTCGGTTCCTAGACACCACATGCAGCCGCTGCCTAAGGCGAGGACACATCACAAAAGCATGCCGAGCCTCGCGGCCAAATTCCAGGAAACAGCGTTCGCCCCCACGGAGGCACACGTCTCCACCACGATGATCCCCACCACGCCGCTCACCGCCCCATAAACCACGTGAGAACAAATGGAAGGGGTCAGCCCGACCCGAAGGGAGGCGCGACCAGAGAAGGGGCTATGACGACGACCAGGATGAGCGTAAAGTGCATCACATGGTTGTCAGCCACACCAACTCAACCGGCGCGGAAAAGTTTTTCGCGACGGTCATGATCGGGAGGCAACCATGTAAGATGGAGGTGGATACGGGATCCATCTGTTCCATCATGTCGTGGGACAAGCTCAAAAGACTGCTGCCGGAGCTGTCCCACACCGCCCTGGAGAAACCAACGGGACGGCTTGTAGACTTCAACGGCCACAATCTTCGCGTGCTAGGTCGAGCACGGGTGGACGTCTCATTCCGGGGACACAAAGCTCGCCTGCTGCTAACCATTGTGGAGGGCCATCGACCCACCTTGCTCGGCGTCGAGTGGCTCAAACCCCTGGGCCTGGGATTCACCGGCCTACACAGAATCCACAAGGAGGAGTTCGAGCAGCTGTTGGAGGAGTTCCCGGACGTGTTCGACGGCTCACTGGGTAAATACCGGGGGAAACCCATTTCTCTGAACTTAGATCCCAGTGTT